CGATCCACTCGCGAGCTTCCTGCTACATGGAACCCTCCCCACAGACTGCAAAGCCGCTAGGAGGGTAGAGTGCCAGGCAACCAAATACATCATAATAGACGAACGGTTGTACCGGAGATCCTACACGCTCCCCTACCTGCGCTGCTTACGGCCTCCCGAAGCCGAGCTCATACTCCACGACATTCATGAAAGCCTGTGTGGCGAACACCTGGGGGGCAGGGCCCTCGCTCAAAAAGCACTATGACAGGGGTACTATTGGCCAACAATGAAAGCAGATGTCGTTGAGCTAGTCAAGAAATGCGATAAGTGCCAGAGGCACACCAATATTCACCACCAGCCCGCCGCCGACCTCAAGTATCTCACCAGCCCATGGCCCTTCGCAGTGGGGCATCGACCTACTCGGGCCATTCCCACCAGCAGCAGGTGGGAGGAGGTTCCTAGTAGTGGCGGTAGATTACTTCACAAAGTGGGTTGAAGCTGAAACTCTCGTAACAATCACAGCTCGAAACGTCCAGAACTTCTTCTGGAATAACATAGTGTATCGCTTCAGGCTACCTCGGATACTGATCTCCGACAATGGCAAGCAGTTCGAAGACATCAAATTCCAAGAGTGGGGCCAAGACATGGGGATCCGGCAAAACTTCATGTCGATCGCGCACCCACAAGCAAACGGTCAGGCAGAAGTCACGAACAGAGCTATTCTCTGCGGACTAAAGGCCAAGCTAGACCGAGCTAAAGAGTTATGGGCGGATGAGCTGCCCAGCGTTCTATGGGCATACCTAACTACAAAGAAAACCGCCACCGGAGAAACTCCCTTCAACCTCACCTATGGCACAGAGGCAGTCATCCCAGCCGAAATCGAAATCCTCTCACTTCGGTTGGAAGCATACAGCGACAATACCAATAACGAGCTACATACCAACCTCGACCTGCTCGACGAAGTGAGGGACCTTGCATACATCAGGACCGCAGCGTATCAGCAAAGGGTAGCTCGGTACTACAACGCCAGAGTCAAGAAGCGGAACTTCCGCGTCGGCGACCTGATTCTCCGCAAGGTCATGGTACCTGAGCCCGGCGTTGGCAAACTTGGGCCGAACTGGGAAGGACCCTACCGAGTAAAGAGAGCACTCGGAGGAGCGTACAAGCTCGAGACCCTGGAGGGTAGGCAAATACCCCGAGCTTGGAACATCGTCAACCTAAGGCGATATTACCTATAAGCTACCAAACTGGGCAAACTATGAGCCGCTCCCAGAGCCTAAGGGTCAGAACGCCGAGGTAACAAAGACCTCGACACTACAAGACCCAATCGCCTCTCCGGCATGGGCAAAAAACCTAGGAAAATATCCTAAGGGCTAAAGCGTCAAGCTAAGGATGACCTCGGGACCTCATCAACGCAAACTAAGTGTTAGTGCCAAGAAGAGCAAGCAGCACGGGTATGAAACCCGAGCTGAGGATGAACAGATCGGGCATATAGCCTTACTATGTTGACCCGCCTTAAGCCTCGTTTTGGGGACCTAATTCTATGTAGCTCGGCAATATAATCACCTTGGCAAAAGAAGAATAGTTGCACAACACTTGACCAGAAAAAGTACTTCATTACTAATGTTTGCTTTACAGTGTTCAAAAAAAAAAAGAAAGAAGAAAAAATGAGCTCGCAGGCTCGGTACACATCACTTCGGGCTCACAGGCCCGGTACACATCACTTCGGGATATCCCCCTTGCCCTTAGAAGGGACTTCGGCAACACTTGGAGGGTCAACCTCGTCATCAGAGTCTGGATCTTCATCGGCCGCAGCAGCCATCTCCGAAGTGATACGCGAGGTGGTGATGGTACGAATATCAAGTTCGGGGTAGGAATGCCTTATCATCCACCGACTCAATTTGAAGCCCCTCCGGTATGAGCCCACCATCAGGTCGTCGAAGCGCTCCGACGCTATGTAGTCGTTGACGGCCTTCACCTTGGTGTCCTCAAGAGCCTGGAAAAAGATCTCGGACTTCTCCTTGATGTCGGCCTTGAGGTATTCCACCTCATGCTCCAGGCCCCCTTTCGAGGTCGCGAGGTGTTTCACGACAAGCCTCAGGGCGTCGTTCTCCCTTCGAAGTCTCTCCAACTCACTCCTCTGAGCCGAAGTCTCGCCCTCAAGACGCTGGACCCGCTCACAAGCTGATCCCAAAGCCTCTTCGACAGTTTGCGCCCGCTCCCGAGCTGATTCCAAAGCCTCCTCGGCAGGCTGTGTCTGCGTCAAGCTCCTCTCTGATTGGATAATTAGGGCATGGATGGAGGAGTTCGCCTGCCAAGCAAGGAGTCAGTTCGGCAAAAAAAAAGGCACAAAGGGAACCGCGTCAACTTACCACCATGACATGAGACGCTGCACGTGCGCCAATGTGGCCTGGAGGAAGCTCGAACCATGCCGCGACCTCGCCTGGGTAAACGGCCTTCTTACTCTTCCGAAGAGCACAGCTCGGAGTCAGCACACTACCAACCCCCTCCTGGCTCCCCGAGTTGGAAAACATTGTTGGAGTTCGAGAAGCCTCTGTGGTTTCGGCTTCCCGAGCCTCTATGACGCCGGGCTCCGCTGCCACTTTGAGGATAGGCCCCGCCGCCTCAGGTTCCCTGGGAGAATCCAGGTTGATGACAGGGAGGGTGACTCGGGGCTTCGAACTCCACGGCCCGAGGAGACTCCACGCGAGCACGCTTGGTGACCCACTTCCTCCTCTTCATTCCATCAAGTAGGTTGGCACCGCGGGTCTTCTCTGCCTCCATGATACCTGCAAAAAGAGCTCGGCATCAGTACCAAAAAAAAAAAGAGAAGAAAACTAAGTAAAGAAGCCTACCCGGACTCAGACCGGCCTGAATAAGTTTAGCTTCCAAGAGGTATTCTTCGCACTCGAGCCCGACCTGGGCCCAGGACTGAAAGGTCTCCGCCATGTCTTTATCCAACATGACGCTGGGATCAAGGACAGCCGCCCTCCGTTGAGTAGGAAACGACCACCCCGTAGCACTTCGGACCACGAAGTAGTCCCACTTCCACGCCGGGACCTTGTTTGAAAGTTTGTGAAGAAGTTTGAATCCTGGGCGAGGAGACAGGTAGTAAGCCCGCCTGTGCTCAGGAAGGAAGCTCGCTTGTTTTTTGAGCATAAGAAGAGCAGAAAAAATTTCTAAGTCCAAAGGAATAACATATTCGCAACAGAGGGATATGGTCCCGATGATGTTGCGAATAGAGTTCGAGTGAAGCTGACCGACTGAGACGCCGAAGTGGTTCAAGACTTCGACGATTAGGGGGTGAAGAGGAAGGCGCAGCCCGGCAATGAGCTGCTCCCGGAAGACCACGACCTCATCTGAACCGTGCTCCCAAGGGAGTTGCCCGAAGGTAAGCTATATGCATACTCCCCGGGCAGGTTGAATTGACGAACAAGGGACCGAAGTCTTTCAGACGTCATAGTGGAGGGTCCGAACGTGTCCGGCATCCAAACCCGACGAGAAGTAGACTCTAGGCTACCCGGGGTGACCCGGGCTGAAGGCCCTACCTCGGGCTCATCCAGAAGGCTGTCAAAAGAGTCATCCCGACCCGAGGTCTCCACCTCAGGCCCTTCTAAGAGGTTATCTAAACTACCCGAACTACTCGAACTAGACATCGCAAAAGGAAATGAAAGGAAATTGAAAAAAGCTAAGGGGACTCACCAAGGGAACGATACCGAACTAGGGAAAGTGACGCGAGCTGAGGACCTTGGACGCGAGCTCAAGGAACGATCATTGAATATTGGCGAAGGAAAAGTGACCAGGGACCCCACTATTTATAGTCGTTGTACCCGCGCATCAACGGTCGAGATCAAAGCCATCCAACGGCTCTCAGGAAAACCGGTTGCACGACCCCCGAGGTGAAATCAGTTTAGCGCAAAATTTTGACATCCGATAATTGATAAAACGTTTGACATCCGCGCGTGAGCTGTACGCGACCCAGGCTGACTCTGGTCAAGCTGCGTTGGTCCTGGTCAAGCCAAGAGCATCGACGGGTCAGACCGGGAAAAATCTGAGCTGGACTAAGCACACCACAGAGCAAATCCACCCGTCAGTCCGTGAACTCCCCACGCCGGGTCAAGACCCCGGGCACGGGGAGTGGGGGGCAATTGATGGAGGTAGATTTGGCCCGACCCCTTGGCAGTACGACACATGGAAGAAACCGGGGTGACCCGGCAGGAACGTCAGCTCGGCACAGCGACATAGCACGGCCATATCCCAAGAAGAGGCCCAAGCTTCCCAAGCTCCCTAAAAGGAACCCACACTTCCTAGGAGGTGAAACCCGAGCTCTTCCTGAGAATCCCGAGGTTAACAGAGAAGCCTGCAAGGGGCAGAGCCCGGACAAGCCCACCTCGGGTCAGTCTGGACCATATGCCGGCACCTCGGAACAGTAGGACATACTCCCATTTAAACTCAAGACTTCACCTCGCGCACCATTCCGGCACCTTGGCTCCAGGTCGCGCAACTGTGAAACTGTACCTGACAGGTCCGTACTCTGAGGCAGCACTCCTGATTGATCTGGATCTGACAGATGGCAATCACGCCGTAACGGCCACCTGCTACCACCATCTCAGTTGTGGCAGAGACGGCCCTAACAGAGAGGACAGTGGCGGTTATATCTACCCCCCACAGAGGCGGTTATACCTGACTTGGCAGAAACTTGGGAGTGAGTGCACCAGGTGGTTATAAAAGACCTTCTTCCCCCAGAGAAAGAGGTATGTGATATTTGTGCTTTCTGGTCTTGAAACCTCTTATTTTCCCTTGCCTTCTCAAGAGTATTAACTTGAGCTTCGGAGTATTCCTACCGGGTTCCTCCCCGGAAATCTCCAATTTCTTCCTTGTTTCAGGCATCTTCGACTCCGTCAGAGGCAAGGTTACCGACAGCTAAGACCGACCGGGTTGTGCATCATCAACCGCCATGAAACCTTTCTTGGCTTTGGTATGGTTCATAAAGTGGATTAACTCATGAGCCAAAAAGAATATTGTTAGAATAGCTCTCCCAAAAAGAAAGGCATTCTAATTTTGGGAAGTTATCTTTTGCATGATTGGTTTCAGCCTATTAGCTAGAACTTTGCCTATAATTTTGTAGACAGTGTTACAAAGCGTAATGGTTCTGTATTGAGAGAGAGTTTCCAGCTGTTTTACCTTAGGGATTAGAGCTATAAAGGTTTGATTGAGTTTCTAGTTCAAACTCCATCTCTAAAAAAGGTATTGGCTTCCCTTATCACATCCTCCTTAACTATTCCCCAATATTTCTGAAAGAACAAGTTTGGATACCCATCTGGACCAGGGGCCTTCCTAGGGGCCATCTGAAAGAGGGCATTCTCAATTTCCTCCACAGAGACAGGTTTCTGTAGGTCCTCATTATCCTCACTACTTATTCTACCTTCCATATTCCTTAAGGCCAACGCTATCTGAGAAGGGCTAGATGATGCATAGATGGACTCAAAGTGGCTCATAAAGACTTTCTCTATCTGCTCTTGGCCTTCCACCCATTCTCCTTCTTCATTCTTAATCTTTAGGATTCAGTTTTTTGCTCTTCGTCTTGTAGTTGCCATGTGGAAGAATCTTATATTCCTGTCTCCTAGTCTTAGCCAGTTAATTCAGGATTTCTGTGCCCACAGAATTTCTTCTCTCTTAAGGAGAGTATCAAGCTCTTCTTCAATAATCTTAACTTTCTTTGCATCAAAGTCAAAGCCTTTTTTTCTTCTTTCTTCCATTAGTTCTGCATTTTTCTTTCAATAGTCTCCTGAACCCTACCAAACCCCTCCTTGTTCCATTTCTTCAACATCTGCCTTAGGTTGATGCACTTTGCACTAACACTCCTATTCACCCTATAGCTAGGGCTTGCTTCCCAAGAGCTACAAATGACTGTCTCACATCCCTCATGGGTCATCCACATCTCTTCAAACCGAAAAGGCTTCTTTTTGAATTTTGAGATAGGAAAGAGATTAAGGCAGATTGCTAAATAATCTGAATGGGAAGTGCAAAGAGAAAACTTTTGCTTCTAAGAAAGTTTCTTGCCTCTCAACATTTTTTTTATGATCGAAATAAGTTATTAATGAGCAATAGACAATAGTACAAAGTCCCCAAGTAGAGGCACAAGTTGCAACCTCTCTGGGCTAGTTAAGTACAAATTCCAAATTACTAATAGTTTACAAAGTCGCACAAAAAAGGTCTTCCTTGGAAACCCCCTGTTTGGCTAAAGAATCAACCATAGAATTAGCAGACCTGCTAACCCATTTTACCTCAACTCTCATATTGCTGGTTAACCACTTTACTTTTTTGATGAGATATTTGTAGCCCCAAATGATAGTATCCGGGTTTAGAAGCCATCCCGTTACCACCTGAGAGTCCCCTTCAACTAGGAGATGCTCCACCCCAAGCTGGTTAGCAATCTGAATTCCTTGTACTGCAGCAAGGATTTCTTGCCTCTCAACATTACAGACCCCTCTATCTAACTTGACTTGGACATTCTCATTCCCACTTCTGTTGTTTGTCCAGGTATGTTTTGGGCCAAAGAAGGGGATTTTAGATAGACCACAATCATTGAGGAAACTTTTGTTTTTCCTGATATAGCTTCATTTATATTTCTTACCTCCCACCTTATCATCAAAATGAAAAGCCATATTGAAATTTCCTATACAATACCAAGGCCCTTGAGTCCTTCCAGCCAGTGCCCTCATTTTTTGCCTAAAATCTTCCCTTCTGGCTTTGTTCGGTTCTCCATAGATAAAGGAGCACCACCACACTCTTCCTTCATCATCCGTAATTCCAGCATGGATAACATTTTTATCTGCAAATTCCACTATTAAAAAAAATACTCTTATCCCAGAACAAGGCCAAACCACCAATCAAACCTATAACATCCACACCCCAACAATTCCACGAGTAAAGGTTTTTGAAATTTTTCTTACAAACCCTGATTGAGCATTTGGTTTCACTAAAGAAAATTATCCTAGGTTTTTCCTTTCTAAGGGACTCTTTCACTGCTCGAATTGTCTTGGGGGACCCTATCCCTTGACAGTTCCAGCATCATATTTTCATTGGCACCAAGGGAGTTGTTGAGGGTCAACTTCTGCAATCCCTTTTGAGATCTCTTTTAATTTTAGGTTTCCAAACATCATGCACATGTCTGCCTTATCAGAATCTCTATCCTCAGACTGCATTAATCCCTTATTTTCAATGGACAAAACTACAGCCCTTGACTCTGGGCATCGGTCGCTATCAAGGTCATTGATAACTCCTTGAATATTGGTGACTTGATTCTTACAATAATTTTCCAAATTTCCCAGCAAAGCATTATTAGTCCAAGTTCTTTTTCTCCTCTTTTGGATCCTCCCTCTTTGAAAAAAACCTTCTTCCCAATAATTTCTTGCTAGAAGGATGGCCACTCTTCCAGAGAAGGTCAGAATTTTGGGGCTTTCTTGTTTCAGTTTTACACAGAAAACAAAAATTTGTTTTTGAAGTTATACCAAGAATAAAATCAATTCTCGAACGGTAGAAGATTACCTCCATTATGCAATTTGGGGCAGATACAGATGCATCCTTTCCGACATGGGGGAAAGCAATCTGAGAACTTCACGTTCTATCTCTTCCTCTTCCCATCAAGCTCTTTTCGTCACTAGACCACCATCTTCATCATTCCTGTGATCTTCATTTTTTGAGTCAGGGCTCATCGACGAGTTTCTTTTTTGACCCGTAACTCTCTTTGGTAGAGCTGATTCGGGTTCCATACACGAAGCCCAGCCCCGTACCTAAGGTTGGCTTCAACTCCTCTTCAATAAATATCAGCTTTCTTTGGGTTAAGAGCCTCGTCAATTTTTTTGATACAGAACCATCAATTTAGATTCTGGAATTTTATTTTATCACTAGTTTTTTCCTTTCCTCAATTGGTTAATAAAACAGACTTGTACTTGGTCAAATCTGTGACCTTTCACTGGGAAGGTAATATCAGAGTTTGCACATCTGTGGCAGACTTGAGCCCAGTTCCCACCGTAGAAGAAAGATCGTGCAGGCCAGAAGACATTCATCAGAGAAAGAACTACGTCAAAATCCGCCGAAATTGAACAGATTCCTCCCTCAGTTATTGTTTTCGCCAAGATAGAGTTCTTTGCCCACTTCCTAATCTTTGGTCCGATCGGGTCCTGTTTCATAGGCTTCCTCCTGTCTTCCACTCTTTTCCTTACCATCTTACCAAATCTCTCTTAACGCCGATTTCCACATCCTGGGATTTTTTTTTCTTCGTAATGTCCTTGACATTGATGAACCTATTCCCCTCACTACCAGTTTCAACCTTCATCCAAGGTCCATAACCCAGAGGTCTTCTTGATTCATCCATGGTGTTCGACCCCATCCTTTTAATCAATTGATCCAACTCTTGGGTGGCTTCCTCTTTTTTCTTTGGGCAGTTCTTCTCCGTATGTCCCAAAATACTGAAAGCTTGTCGTACTGAAAAGGAAGCCAATCCTCTTTACCTTCCTCTAGAACTCCCCAGGATCCTCTTGCTATGGGGTTCTTAACTTGGACTCTCATTCGCACACGTAAGCCTTTATCCCAAGCCGGCCTTCTTTTGTTGTATCTTGGAATCAGTTCCTTCATTTGTCTTAAGTCACTAGCATCTCTTGCAAGCAGGTCCGCTGTCTCATCCGACCTGTACTCTACTGGCACATCCAGTATTCAGATCCAGATGTCCATTGTATCAAAGGGCACATTGCTAGGTTTCTTCCCAGGTGTCCATCTTCGTAGCAGTAAGGGATAGTCCTTTATGGACCAGGGTTCATTGGAGAGAACCTCCTCAAGGTCCTCTGGATTTCCAAAATGGATCCAGAGTATGTTGTTGCAAATCTTTTCTACATAGTAATCGTCCCTCGTCCACCTCCAAAGTCTGTGGATCTGTTGAATGACTCCTTCAATATTCAATGGCCTGTCCGGAAGTATTTTTCCAAACAGGCTGCTCGATCCTATTATCTCCGCTTTCTCTAATTTTTTAAGTGTATTTTTTCTACCCCAACAAGTTATCCATTGTCCTCCCCAGATTCTCCAGCCACAATAGCAACAGGAAGAAGAAAACCCGGAGTTCCTAACTAAGCACAGAGAGTAAACCAGCTCCCCTTCGAGCAGTAGAATTTGAAATGTGCAAGTTACAGAGATGGCAAGCTTAATTCATTTATTAATTTGTGGCATTAAAAAAGTTAATAGCATTTTTTAGTGGTTGATAAGAGTTTTAGCACGATAAGGTACGAAAGCACAGAGTGATTAAGAAAGTGAGTTTTAGCCCAAAAAGATGTGCAAACATTTCTTATTTGAACAAAAAAAGATATGGACAAAGAAAAGAGACTTTATACTTTATTCTCAGCAAAGTGTTGTGTGGGAGGTTTCAATAGCCATAATTATAAAATAGGTTAAAATTATAGGTGGTGTTGATCATTAGGTTGGTAATTTCAGATCCACCAATTCACCTATTTTGTTATTATCTGTTCATTTATTCAGTTAAATATCTACTTTATATAATAGTAGATTTGAGACTAATTAATGCTTGATATTTTAAAAGAAAAAATCTATGATGCCGGAAAAACATTATATCAAAACAGTTTTGAAATGTTTTGTGTCTTTTTCAAATGACACATAACGGCTGGTTAACAGCTAATTAACATCAAGTACTAGATTGTCATATTTTGAAAGTTCGGTAATGAATTATTGCATTTTAATGTTCAGGAACCAAAGCGATACTACGCACAAAGTACAAGGTACTAATTAAAAATTTATCCTTAAAAGAATAAGACACATATACCTGAAGCCCGAGAGATGATTTGAGAGAGTTACATTTTTTATCCAGAGATTGCTGATTTGCCACAAGAAGGATTGGCCGTTGACGAACTGGAGAGAGAGAGAGAGAGAGCTCGAAGATGGAGTTCAATTGTTGTTGCTTGTTGGCTTGTTGCTGTAGATGTTGTCGGCCATTTTTGGGGAGTGTTGGGGAGGCCGCTACTTTGGAGTCTAGAGTATGGACCCAGAGCTCGAAGAAATGGAGACGTCGTTGAGTACTCAGAATTGAAGCTCAAAGTTGATTGTCGGCTTGCCACTATAGATGCCGCCAACCACCACTATTGGCGGTGGACCTTAGAGTCTGGACTCAAAAGCTCAAAGAAATGGGGACGACGGGAGGCCGTTGAGTATGTGGAGTTAGAGCTCGGAGAGATACTGTCATCGGCTTGTTGCCTGTAGTATAGTAGATAAACTATCGTCGGCCACTGCTGTGAAAGGGAAGGAGTTTAATTTGTACGAACAAAACAAGAATGAAGAAGAGCGAAAGACTGTCGATTCAAATGAGTTGGGAAACTTAGGTTAGAAATATATATATTATTATATTTTAATAATATATATTAATATTTAAATTATTGCCGAATCATGTTGGGTAAAATTCTAAACCCGGCCCAAAATTAAGTTGATCTTAGATAATAGGGCCTAAGCCTAGACCCACGTATAAGTCCGATCACAATCGGGTCGGACCGCCGGATTATCCGATTCATGAATAGGTCTAGCAGAGAGGAAGGTCAAAGCCTTCAAACCAAGGGCCAAGTTCAACTGTGTATACGGCGTGTCACATGTGCTTGCATCGCATGTCCCACATGCAGCGTGCAGCGCTCAGCGCTCGCATCTGAATCTCTTTATCGTGCTTCTTGAATACTCAGTACTATCAGCAGATAGGAAGATTATATGTATATATAATTGATATGGACGACTGCGATTAGTTTGTCAACCCCCCCAAGACCGGATCGTGCTTCGATGCCACGGACAACTATCGTTTAGTACACGTCATCCATGTGCTACGGCCCACGGTTCTTCTATGTTGGGTCCCACCCATAGGTCAAGACAACTCAGACTCCGAGCCATTGCGCAATAGCGGCGCTTGGTTATGGTTAGTGGAGCGACTAGCAAGGAATTGGTTGGCTAGCGGCTATATGCCTCGTTAATCCGGCTTGGGCGACGAGCTGAGCCGACTCTAGATTAAGCAAATCGGGATGTTTTTGTTTTCTTTCTTATCGTGCGAGTTGCGAATTTCGACCTCGTTCAAGAGTCAAGATTCAAGAATCAAGTGTAGGGTGGGCAGAAATACACGGTTGTCCTCCCAGATCTCCACCGTTTTATTTTCTCCTCTGAAGTGATATTTTTCAGGTCCAATGGGACGGTGGATAATAAAGCCACGTTACCCACGGACCGATGGTCGTGTGGGGTTCTTCTAACTTCTATTCTATCAGATGGTTGTCTCTAAAGTCCCAAATCCCAAGACAAAACATAACAGGGTCCACCGTCCATACCGAGCAACCAACCATTTATAGATTATAGTGCCATGCCGTAAAAACCAAAACCAAAGTGGACAATATTATACATATTTATATATACATTTATTACTAAAAATATAATAATATTTTTCATCTTTTAATTCTAATCCTAATTTTCACTCGATAATCCCCCAACCTGTTTCATTCGATACTCTCCCTCCTCGTTTGATTGCACTTTTAAGAGGTCTGAATATAAAAATATTGTTTTTTAGACATCATTTTTTGTTTGATTTTACCTCTTAAACTTCGTCTAAATCTTATTTTTAGATCTAAAAGTAATAGAGATTGGGCCAGCTCTTAACGCGCGCTCTTAACGTGCTCAGACGCATTTCAAAGCCGTGCATAGTCCAAAATACCCTTACAATATTTTAGAAATGATGCGCACTATCTCTGTCTTCTCACGCACGACTCATTTGCCTTCTCTCTCTCGATCTCTCTCCCCCTGTCTTCCTGCCACCGCCATTGCAAGTTGCAGCGGCGGCTCTCTCTTTCTCCCCTTGTTCCCAGTTCTCTCTCTCTCTCTCTCTCTCTCTCTCTCCCTCCCTCTCCCTCTCTCTATCTCTCTCTCGCTCTTGGGGGATTGAGGGTTTTATCGTGCTCTTGGAGGTGGGTTATCGACGACCAATCTCTCAAGAGGGTTTTTAGTCTTTACGATGAGATCACCGGAAACAGTATGTGTTCATCTGTATTTTGTGAACCGAGATGGCTTCGTCGGTGGGCTTCGTCACTGGGGTCAAGAGGGCTTCATCGATGGGCTCACATGACTTCTACTGAGAGGGCTTTCGTAGTGTTCATCTGTATTTTGTTCCCCTTATCTCTGTTACTCTAATTGATCATTGGAAATGGTAGGTGTCTTCATCTTTTCAGAGGCATAGATCGATCGATTTGGATTCAGATCTTATGTTCTCTCTCTCTCTCTCTCTCTCTCCCTCCCTATCTTCCCACCGTCGCCACTGCCGCTGCAACATGCAATAGCGATGGTTGGGTGAATAATAATAATATTTTTATTAATTATTAATTATTTTTATTAACTAGTAATTTTAATTATTTTAATTTTTATTTGTGTAAATTATTAATTATTTTAATATTTTTATAGTCTTTTTTTTTTAATTTTAATCATTTCATTTATTAATTTTTTATTTTTTATTTGTATTGTTTCAATATTATTTGAGGTTGAAAATTATTTTTTATGAGATAATGCAAATTGAACTCAACATTTCCAAATAGTATGTGATGAAGGGGAATTTGGCCCGACCTCATAATCAGGAGACACGTGGGCGTGACTCAGCATAAGTGACAACTCGACATGATCAGATCGGCATGTGGACATGACTCAACGCAGGTGACAGCTTAGCATAAATCAGCTCGCTACAAAGCGACCTCGGGTACGTTGGTACCCCGGACTAAAGTTACTTCGGGCCAAGATCGTCCCAGTACCAGTTCGCGACCAGGACAACAGTGCCAAGTCTGCTACAGGTCGAGCTTGGACAGATGAGTCACCTCAGGACAGGCCTACCTCGGTGCAAGAACACCTCGGTACTAAAGCACTTCGGCATTCAGGGAAGATCAAGTATGTGGAACGCGAGCTCAGGCAGCTCGCCAATAGGCAGCTTGCCACCAAGTAGCCCGACACTTCACAAGCAGCCCGTTGCCTAGTCTGGTTGACCTCCGCATGGCAACCTCGAGGAACACACCTCCGTACTCTGCATCCCACGGGACCGTACTTTGTAACGGCTACATTAGTTCACCCACTCCCCGATTCAGACGGGGATGGCCAACCTCACATCGGGAGACGTTACTCCCACCTCAGGACAAGCCTACCTCAGTGCAAGAACACCTCGGTACTAAGGCACTTCGGCATTAACACAAGCTCAAGTAGCTCACCAATAGGCAGCTNCGGGACCGTACTTTGTAACGGCTACATTAGTTCACCCACTCCCCGGTTTAGACGGAAACGGGCAACCTTACCAGTTGGTGGCATTTTACCCACCTAACACGCAAGCGGATCCCATCACAGCGAGGATCCAGGAACCACTCCACCAACCCACGAGGCCTCCAGTATATAAAGACTTCACCCCCTAGGGGCGAAGGTATGTTTTTATGCATAATCTTTGCTCTCTAACTCTCAAACTCACTGTTATCATCTTCAAGCTCTCTACTACAGCTACTGTGTGCTAACTTAGCCATCGGTGTGTCCCCGCCGAGTCAGCCACCCTGGGATCTATGACTCCTCTCTTGCAGGTTACCCCAGTTTTCATCGTTGCTGGTAGCCAGATCGTCTCCAGCAGGGAGCAGCCGGATTATGCCACGTCATTTGGCGCTGTCTGTGGGAAATCGTTACTAAAAGCCTTTTATCTCTATTTCAAAAACCTAAAACTCAAACCCATGATTTCCTCCAGCAACGCCAGACAGCACAACGAAGCAAACGTCTCCGGGGGGCAACCTCAGTTCCCCACTGCCTGCATAGGCCAGTTCACCATACCGCTCCCCGGGGATGGGATTCCAGCACCTACTGTACCTCAACCAACTGTGCCTATGAACGCCTCACTTCCTCCTGTAGTGGGTGCGACCTCCGTTGAAACCTCGATAGTTCCCCTAGAGTTGGACCAAATCAACTAAGCGACCTAGTATACTGTGTGCGGGCTATCCAAGCCCAAATGCAGCAGGTCCAGCAGTACCAACAGCAAGTCCTGCACCACATGTACTAGCAGCAGTTCCCACCGTTGCAGTAGAACCAACAACCAACCCCACCTCAATGTCCAATCACCCCAAGC